ATATATATATATATAGACGTTTCTAGAAAAATTGTTGCATGGGCAAAACTTTGTTGCACAACTCTGTAGCTATAGATCTTACAGGGGTTTTGAATTTAAATACATCATTACGCTTGGCAGCGACGGTGCTTTATCAGCTATTTTATCACAATGCACAACTTCAGTGACTGTGAGCCTCAATGAGATAAAGTGAAAAGGCAAAACAGTTTGTTTATGTGTGTATTTGTGAATTTGTGTGTGTTTTCACACCCTGGCCACAGTCCACTTCTTCTTAGTTTAGACAAGAATCAATTTCCTCCATTGAGGAGCCTATTACTGGAGATATATATCGAGTCACGGAAGCGTAACAAAGTGTGGCTCTTGGAATGTGCTGGCCGGAGGCTTTTCCCATTACGCTATGGGCATCTTGGCATGCACAGTTATCAACCTGCCATCCTTCTTTACAAACACACACACACACACACACACACACACACACTCATGCATGTCGTCCAGAAAAGCTTCTTCACCTCCAGGCCTTGGGAAGCATGTCAAATGTCTGCTCAGTCGCAAGAGCTTTCTGTCTGCTGTTGTGTAGTCTTGCGTGTCCAGACCTGTGACTTCAGCAATAAAGTCTGGTTCACATTGCAGCTCATTCTGGTCAGGAACCGCATGTTTTGTGGGAAGAGACAGCGTGACTGACATGTTAAGTCATTGAGCACAGTTTGTTTTTATATGCCTTTAAGGGGCAGGTTTATCTGCAATAGATTATACTGCAATAATAATTTGATATGGAGAAACACTTCTATAAATTGGGTACAGAATTACAGAAATCTCTTACAAATTGTGACAGAGTTGCAGAACATATATGCATCAGATACTGGATAATTTCAGATGCTGGACAATTTTATTATTATTATTATTATTACTACACATTGATTGTTAATTGATTTAAAAGTTGATTTAGAATTTTAGTGTTGTATTTTTCACTTATTTAGAAAAATGGCAAAGAATTTGATTACAATGCAAAATGTTCATAGATTTTTCTGTCTGAAAAAAATTCTGTCTGTCCATAGTTTGTTTTTATATGATAAGAGATGACATAGACGTAACATATGATGAACAACTACAACAACACCAAAAAAATGGTATCACTGCTTTTGTTTCACATTTTATAGGGATGTAGCCAGTTAAAATCAGTGTTTTTTTTGTATTATTTATTATAGTATTTATTGATGTTTAAACTAGCTTTTGTTTTCTTTAAAATTTTAGTTTTGTTTTAGTATGTTGTTCTATATTTTGCTATTGTTTTTATTTTAAAATATTTTTATTTAGCATTCACCAATGCAACATTTCTATTTTTTTTTATTTAATTAGTTTAAATATTTAATTTAATTAAATATTCTAATTTAATTTATTTTTTAATTTAATTTAATACATTTTTTATTTAATCTTCTTCATCTAATAGTTTTCGATTATAATTTAATTTTAATTCTAATTTTATTTTTTATTATTTTATTTTATTATATTTTCAATTAACCAAAAAAAAAATTGTTTCAGCTGACAATAGCATTGTTTTAAATGTACAGGTCATGGGAATTTTTTTTTTTTTGTGGCATTTGAGGTGGCATATTCACTAAAATAGATGTCGCACCAATTCCGGAGATGCTGGATCTGTCTTTTCCCAGCACAAATTAAGACTTGGTTTTCAATATTTGATGACACTAACCTGTTAATCTTTAGCAATGATCATTTGTTTCCAGTTGGACTGATAAAGACCTCCTTGTTCTGTTACTCTTGGAATTTACGGAAAAAAAAGTAAATCAAATTAGAGTTTGTTAGAGTAATTTCTATTTGTGTATATAACATCCATCAGACAGTCTGTGAACTGACTGCAGGTGGTCTGCGGCTGCGCCATCTGAATTGTGTAGCGAACCCTCGCCATTATCAAAGACGCCCGCCCTGCATTTCGGTCACGCAATTCGACATCGTGATAGAGCTTTTTATTCTCCAGAGCCAGCAGCGCACAGAAATATGATTTACTCATTGCCGCAGCTCAGAGGTGATGCACAAGGGAAGTAAAAGGCTTTGGCTGGCCGTATAGTCTCTCTCACACAAACACTCGGAGCCTTTGCAAATTACCTCCATTAAAAATGCATGAGGCTGCGCTCAAAGTGCCCCAGGTGTTATAAAGCACAGCGCTGTGGCAGAAAACTCTGCTGGTTGGCTGGCACACATCGGTGTATGGTGTGTGGCCCATGCCCATCGGTACCACTTTAATTATCTCCATTGGACTCAGCTAGCAAACAGGGGCTTTGCCCAGAGCCCCATCACTCTCTCCCGCACCCGTACCACCCAATACCAGCGGGACGACGAGTGGATGAAGCCCTCGGAGAGCACTATACCTGCTGAAAAACACACTCCTGCTATTTGGACAGGAAATATTTGTTTGTTTTCCTTCGGCGGTGGCTCTTTATGCGTTCCAAGAGAGACATTGATACCTGTGCTACATTTAAATCTCTATTGTCTTTTTCTTTAGATAGACACTGCAATAAATGACTTGCTAAAAATATTTTTGTCTTGTTTTTCAGTAAAACAGCTAAGCATTCTTGAATCAAGATACATTTACTTGAGACACATTTTTTTGTTTCAATTAATTAAGGGACTTTGTGCTTAAAACATTAATGAATATCTGCCAATGGGTTAAGAAAAGTCATTTTCCCTTTGAATTAAGTTTATTTTTCTTACCCCATGGGCAGATTTTTCTTGTTTTAAGTATAAGCTCACTTAAAGGAATAGTTCACACAAAAATTAAAATTTGCTGAAAATTGACTCACCCTCAGGCCATCCAAGATGTAGATGAGTTTGTTTCTGGAAGCAATGGTTTGTTAAAAATGTCTTAATGATTGATTTGTTTCTTTTGTCTTCACAAGATGTTAATGTAAAGTGTTTGGGTGACATTGATTATAAGGACAGCATTGTGCTGTTAGTTTTCTAAGCAACCAGACTTATTATACCCATGCTGGCATTAACGGCAAACTAAATAATATTTCAGTTTTTGTTTCAGTTTAAGCATTTTTTTTTTGTTTATTCATACATGAAGAATGTGTTTGAATACAGCCGTAGATTAATACATGCAGAAGCTGAACAACTCAAGGCCTTTTTTAAATCAGCACATACTAGACTTGAGCTTCCATGGCAATTAAAAGCCAATAAGAATAATGTAGTTGAGAAATCTTTTCCACTGCCTAAATTCAGGATCTTCTCCACCTCGACTTTAATAGCTTCTTTTCTTCCATCTCCCTTTGGGCAGTTTAACTTTTTCCAAAGCGCCGCCTCAACCTATTGGCACAGAGTAATAAGCGCAAGGTAAAATAAGAAGTGAATTAATTCATGTGAATTTGTATTCCATATAAAGTCTAAAACTGCAGAAGCTGACATTAAACCCTCAAGGGTCTTAAAAGAATGAGGAGAGTACAGCGAGTCAGAGGGGAAAATGACAAAACCCTCATCTCTTTGTCGCTTCATCTCTCTGTCAGTGGTGTTTGTATTCCACATGGGATGTAAATATATTTTGGTTTATCAAAACACAGTGTGAAATATTCATAATTTGTTTTGAGAGGGCAATTGAAGTACTGACTCTACTTTGTCCTCACAATTCATGACTAGAAGTGAACACAATTGGTGTCATCTTTTAAATTATGATGATCATAAACTCAAAGTAATTTTTATATTAAGTTTGATCGATCTATCTATCTATCTATCTATCTATCTATCTATCTATCTATCTATCATCTATCATCCATCCATCCATCCATCCATCCATCCATAAAAAGCTTGAAACCGATAAACCTTAACTTATATAAAAAAAAAATTAATTTCAGCTAGTTTTGAAAGCAACATTTCAACAATCAATAAATAAATATATAAATAAATTGAAATAAATTAACATTAACTGAGATAAAATTAAAAAAATTATTACAGCTAGATGTGAAGGCAACATTTCTCACTTTTGTGTAGTTTAGATAAAAGTTCTAAAATAACTATTTTTTTTAATAAAACTAAAAACTAAAACAGTGTTATTTTAGTGTAATTGAGATATTTTATAGTGTGTATTAATATTTTATTTAGTTATTGTTGTTATTATTATTAATAATATTATTAATATTATTATTATATTTTCTGCTTTTTTGTTAATTTTAGTTTCATGTTAATAATGTTTTTTTTCTTCCTTTGGCAAATAGATGAAATTAATATATATATTATATATTATATTATAATTATAAAATGTATTTATGTTATGTAATTCATATATTTTTAAAAAGTTCACATATATATATATATATATATATATATATATATATATGATTTCAGTTAACATTTATTTTATTTCAAGTAACAAAATGGATTTAGTTTTATGGTTTTAGTTTTAGTTGTAGTTAATAACCCTTGCATTGTGTTGGAAGTCTAGATTTTCAGTTTCAATCTCGGTCTGTTCGTTTTCATGTCCTTTTTAGTGCTTGACTGTCCCACTCCACTTTTTTTATGGGAAAGGGTATTAAAAAGAAAAATGACAGTTTTCGAGTGGATGACATAAATAAACCCTTCTTTGTGCTTCATTCCCAGGTTCTCTATAGACCGGAGCACAGACCAGGAGCAGATCTTTAACATCGATGCTGTAACAGGTGCTATCACTCTGGGAAAGATCCTGGACCGGGAAACTGCCGGCTGGCACAACATCACAGTTACTGCGGTGGAAGCAGGTACAAACCCTGATTACTTCACTCCATCAATCGCAAGTGAGTTTCAGGGAAGTGGCCCAAATTCTGTGCACCTAAAAAAAAGAGACTTAATTCCATTTAAAGTCAAAACAGCTTTTCAGTTTAATACAGTGTTTGCTGAAGTATTATATGCTGAGATAATGAAGCTAAAGCAGTAATTGTGTTTATATAAAACACTACATAACAAATAAACACAGTGATTTACATTGTTTTTTGCATGACAGACTAATGCAGAAATCAGCTTTAAAGGGTTAGTTCACACAAAAATGAAAATTAGCCCATAAATTACTCACCCCCGAGGCATCCTAGGTGTATATGACTTTCTTCTTTCAGACGAATCCAGTCGGAGTTATATTAAAAATTGTCTTTGATCTTTCAAGCTGTTTAATGGCACTCAGCAGTTGTTGCATTGATTCTGTCCAAAAGAAGTTAAATAAAAAGCGCCCATCCATAAAAACAAAGTGTCTCACACGGCTCCGGGGGGTGAACAAAGGCCTTCTGTAGCGAATCGATGTGTTTTTGTAAGAGAAATATCCATATTCAAAACGTAATAATCACATTAATGTAGCTTGCACTCACTGTTGTAAACAGAAGCAGCTCCGGGCGGATGATGTATGAGGTCAGTGCTGCGCATGCGCCGGTGATACAGGAGGCCTTTGTTCACCCCCCGGAGCCGTCTGAGACACTTTTTTTTAATGGATGGCTGCTTTTTATTGAGCTTATTTTGGACTGAAGCATGCAACACCCGCTGAGTGCCATGAAACAGCTTGAAAGATCAAAGACAATTTTTAATATAACTCCGACTGGATTCGTCTGAAAGAAGAAAGTCATATATACCTAGGATGACTTGAGGGTGAGTGATTTATGGGCTAATTTTCATTTTTTGGGTGAACTAACCCTTTAACCCTTGTGCTGTGCTGAAAGTCCTTTAGCTAATGTGGTGTTCATTTGGTAAACATTGCTTGTAAATCTCTCATCATGATATATTATAACCAAATGTTGGATTCAATCTTTTTATCAACTTGTCTTCTTTCAATTAGCACAGGTTTTGTATTTCTTGATCATAGGCCTTGTTGATCTGAGCTCACGCACCTGAAAAAAGCATTATTTGTGGATTTATTTTATTTTTTTATTGTATATTTTTATTTATTTCTTTTGCAATATTCACTCCAAACTGAGATACATAAGCTCAGATCAATGAGACCTAAAATCAAGAAATGTAAAATGGTAATAGTAAGGTATACACAAAAAAAAACCGCCAAACAGTACAGAAATTATCCAGTTTTGGGGGGAAGTAGTTATGCCCCGTGTGATCAAAATTAGTACGTTTTAGTTCAATGCTATTAACTAGCATTTTTGGGAAAAATAAAATCCTCTCCAACATGAGGGTTAAGAAACTGTGCAATGCTTTTCAAGTATATTGACACCAAAACATGTCTGAATGTCATTGCATTAGATAACAAAACCTAAGCAAGGGTCATTTATTGTAAAGAATGATGCACAAATAAAATTTAGAGCGCATATTCAGACACTTAATATAATGCAGCAACATTCACGCATTTCTAAGTGTCCAAATAATTTTTGGGGCCACTAAAAGCATCTGTCATATTTTCTCATCTAGTGATGCGACCTGTGAAACTTTTCTGAACATTAAAGGAGTCATGAAATGCATTTTTAAATTATTTTATAATATTTTCCCAGGTGCACTTAACAAAACAGTCATAATTTAGATTTAAATGGTAATTTTTTTAGCCCTCTAATGACTTTCTGTATAAAACATATGTAATATAAATAATATAATGTATAATATAAAATAATCACAATATAGAAAACAGGTTTTCGTGCTACTAATGCAGCCTGGTTAGAAACTTCCTACTTCCCACTTGTGAAGTTGTTGCATTCGAGTGCTTTAAACATTCACTGCGCTACCTAGATATTCAGCTGGCTTATTCTTACATTTTGTTCAAATAAATGCTATTTTCGCTGTGTTCAGTACATGCAATATGCATCAGATGGTTATTTACATACATGAATACACATGACTGTAATGGCAGGAGAAAGCAATGTAGACGTTCTCGGAAAAGTTCTACAGCTATGTTTCAGCTATGTTTCTCTCCTCATGTTTAAAGCCCACCAAATTAAGAGCCTCAGGTATGTCAAGGAGAAGTCATGATGTCGCATTTGTCCCGATTCAAATCCAGGTTTTTCGGAAAAGTAGAAAATAATAATTCATATTTTAAACTTGGGAGTTAATTTTGAGTTCTGAAACTTGCAGCAAACCTCTCAAATATCAAGAACATTTTGTTTCTCCATTTCGTGACCCCTTTAACCCTCACGCTTTAACATTCAGATCCCACTTCTGGAGTCTTAAACAATTTGTTTGTCTCAAGACATATGATCGCTCTTTCTAAGAGTTGCATCACGTCTTGGGTTTTAGTCCAAATTTGTCGTATTAAAGTGAGAGAAAGCACTTCAATCTCAATCTCAGACACAAAAACCAGGGTTTTGCTGCAAGATAAAGTCCTTTTTGCAGAAAAAGAAGTAGCAGCTTTAGCAAAGTTAATGGCTTAATCAAAATTCCCAGCAAATTTCAGCCTGTGCTTGTGCTTGTTCACTGCAAAATACATGGGATCTGGAGTCGCTGGGCAATGAGGCGTCGAGTGGCCAGTTTGGAAACGCTTTTCATAATTCCCTCGTACATTCGTATTTTAAAATTTCACACTCCACTCAAGAGCGTAATGAGTGTTCATCGAAGAGTTACGTTTGCAGATCGATGTGCGGCGAACGTTTCGCGCGCCATTGCTGGCGATATTAGTAAATATGATATTTCAGACAAAATCTGGGAAATCTGGTCATGCACAGAAATGCAGTTCAGTATGCCTCAGTTGGCTGGGAATAAATACAATTTCAATCTTTTCAAGGCTGTCGATTTAGTCCTACTAAAGCAGGCGTGGCAAACACGGCCACACATGCACCGCGCTCCAGCGCTAAAAGTCGACTTGAGGAGATGAAATTTTCTTTGCTGTCCAGAAGGAGTTATCAGGTCCGTTTCTTTCTGAAGTCTTGGCACGATGCTGCCAGACTGGAGTTTTACTGTCAGAAAGTCTGGCAGGCCATCGGCTCGCCACAGAATCCAATCTGCTGAAGAAGAGTGACATATAATTTCTGTGCGTTTGATAGGCTGTATGATATCAAACTGCAGACTCTCTCTCTCTCGTTTACTCGCTTCGTCTTTTTCAGGTGATAAATAGAGGAAAAACCATCATGTCTTGCCCTTAGGGTAAAGAGATACTATGAACACAGTCGTGTCTTTATCTCGACAGAAAGGACATTTGGTGTGGAGAGTGAAAAATAACTGCACTGTGCTCTCTCTGGATTTTGAACGGTTTCAAGGATCCTGCTCTAAAATTTGCCCTTTTCGGCCATTAGAAATACAGAAGGGTTTATATGTAACAAAAAATGACATTTCTGTAATCACGGCCAACCTCTTTGCTTTCATTTTTAATGAAAATGCCAAAGTACAGCCAGCAAGACTGGAGTAGCTCCAGTAGATTTCACTGCTGGTCGAGTTCAGCTTCTCTAGTGGCTTTTGCATTGGACGCCACAAAGCAGCATTTTGATTTTTCATTTTTCTTGATTTGAATGCATTCATGCAGTAATTGACCTCTAAAATACCATAAAGTTTGATTTGATGAGCAGTTTTGACATTAAGGACAAAATTAAATGTATGTTTTCACCCTGTTGGCAGCTTGCATTAAAGTGCCCCTATTATGCCATTTCAATATTGCCTTTCATGCAGTTTGTAATGTAGCTGTATGTGAAGCCGGAAGTGCATGATAAATAAAGTTATTGTCTCTGAAAAGAAAGAAATGACTCTGAACAGCCTGAACGAGTTGTCAGTAATTCGAATCCCACTTCTGTGATGGCTACACGTCTCGGGGTAACACATTTGCATAATGCCCACCACAGTACATGCTGTGTCTTATGCTGTGAAAGTAAATTCATTTTATTTTCACTTGCGAAAGATGAGGTTGCAAAGAATCAGTGGTTGAAATTCATTTTTCCCACCGTACCACACCCAGTCTTTTTTGTGATCCTGAGTTTAACACAGGATTCACAAACCGCTTGCTCTTGAAAGATGAATCAGTACACAGTTTATTTGGACCAGCTGGCTCCACAACCTGTAAGTGTGATAAATAATGGATGTTTATATTTTCTATCAAGCGTTCAAAATATGGAACTATGGCAATGGGCGTATCGTTTGCGACATGCGCTGAAAGCAGTAGACCAATCACAACAGACTGGGCCATCTGACCAATCAGAGCAGAGCAGGCTCACGGAAAGGACGGGTTTAGAGAGACTGAATCTCAGAACTGCTCTGAACGAATCGTTTGAGAATCGATGGAAAATGAGGTGATATTAAATGCATACTTTGAAAAAACAAAAGGATTGTTTGACCTTGCATGCATGTAAACCTATTATAGGAGACTCCCAAAACAATATTAGGAACCTTTAAAATGGCATAATAGGGGCATTTTAAGCATGACGTTTTAATCATAAATATACATTTTGTTAGATGTATGATTAAAACCAGGAAAAATGACAACTTGTAGCAACTTTTAATCATAAATATAAATTTTGAACTCATTGAAAACTCATATATCTCATGCAATTTTGCTTCTCAAATTGTTCTTATTTTTATTTTATTTATATATTTATTTTAAGAATTGTATTTCTTTTTAATGCAAAAACTTAATTAAGGGTTATTACGGTAGTTCATCATCAGGCATGATTTATCTTGTTTACTTGCAATTACTTTATTTTACTAAAAACAAATGAATTGAATCAACTATTTTTAGTAATAATAAAACTATAGGAGATGTACGGTAATTATTAATACTGTTTCTCTAACTTCATAATATTAGAGTTAGAAAAATGAACTTAATTCAAGATATATTCTCTGAAAACACATCTTAATATCT